CCGCGTCCTGCTCCCTCGCCGTGGTGGACGACACTGCTGCTTGCGGAGCACTCGCGGCTCCGGCCCTTCGCAGTCGGCGGGGCGGTGGGGCTCACCCTGGTCAATTCGTCGTTCGTGCAGGTAGGTAGCTTATGTGGCTTCTGAGCCAAGGCCTCTCACCGCTGCTGTGGTGTCCTGTGGAGCCTCGTGTCCTCTGCCACGGCGGCGGGGTGGGGACTGTGCTCGCCTGTCCTGTCCCGAGCCCCCGAGGGGCGGGCCGTTTATGGAGGTCGCTGGCTGAAGCTCCCACCACCTCCCACAGCCCTCGGCCTTGGCTCCTCAGTCTCCAGGCAGTGACAGTCTGGCTGTCCTTCGATTTCTGTTTCTCGCGTTTTTCCTCGTGTGACTGTGCCCTGTTCCTGTCACACGTTCCTCGGTGAAGCGTGATAAGGCCAGTGGGTAGGTTCACACTCGACTCCCAGGTTTTCTCCTATTTTCACTGACGTTTTAATTTTCACATCAGACACACGTGTTTCATGCTATGACAATTTCAGTGTCTGCCGAGCTGGCCGCACGGTGCTTCTCCTTGGACCTGCCAGTGTGACAGGTCAGGGAAACAGGTGTCCTAGCGCTGGACCGTCCTTCATTCCTTCATTCACGCTGTCGTGAGTGTCCACACCCAAGCTGGCGACCTCGCACGCCCCGCCGCGTCGCCGTCACAGCAGCGAATCCGACCCTCTCACCTGACGTGCTTTTCTGAATCACGCCCTGGACCGCGCTCTCTCTGGTGGCCGAGTTGTGCCCCACCTGTGACTCCTGGACGGAGGGCGGGGTTCAGGCCTCCATGCCCGCGGCACCTCACGTCCTGCGTCTCTTCCAGCATCTTCCTCGGGCTTGGCGCTCGTGTTTGTGAGACTGGCGGGCGGCGTTTCTGGGTTCTTCCCTCCTTGCCTGGTCTCGACACCACGTGACGCCGGCCTCACGGGACCTGCTCTGGGAGGCTCACCTGAGCCCAGTGCGGGGCCCAGTCCAGACCTGGTCACCGAGTCTTCCTAGTTCTGAGAGGCAACCAGTCTCTTCAGCGTTACCGCCTGGTTTTAGAGGCAACTGGGGCAATTTACATCTTCCTGGGAAATTCCCTGCTTTCTGCAAACTTCGAACGTGTCAGCAGAAGCGAGTGCATCACGATACTTATTTCTAACTTTTAAAACTTTTCTTTTAGCTGCGATTTTCTTGCCTTTCGCGTTTTAATGCTAATTGGTATTTCCTCTTTGCTGTCAATCAGACTCTCATTGGTTTGTCTGTTTTATTATTTTTTTGCAAAAAAACAATGCGGAAGCTTCTCTCCCCTCTCCCACCGCAGTTAGAATCCGAGAGGCTTCCCAGCACCGGCCAAGGTCGACCCTCACACCCTAGAGAAAACAATCCTAGACAGCCGGGCGGGCGGCCAGGGCCTCGTCCAGCTCCGCCAGGGGCCTGAAGGCCTGGCGGGCCCCGCAGCTCCCATCTGGCCCCCCATGCTTCTAGCACGGCCGAGCCCGCGCCGCCTGCCGCCTGCCACCTGCGCATTGTTAAAGCCGTCAGCCAGGGTCAGAGGTGCAGGTGCCTGCGCAGGCAGGCACAGCTTAACCTGGACAGCCAGCTGGGGACTGGGCCTCTTGTTATTTGTTAGGTTCTGGGGGGACCGTGTGGAATAAGTCCTTCGGGGGATAGCCACTAGAGCTCTCCCCCTGCCCCCCACCCCCGCCCGGCCTGGGGCTCTGAGCAGCCCCTCCCCCCACCCCGCCGGCCCCCTCCCCTGACAACCTCCAGCCCTCGAACTGCGCCTTAGCGGGAATGTGCGCGAGGGGGAGGGGGCTTCATCTGCATCCCAGTCACCGGCACAGACACAGGTGCCCGCTGGCCCCGGGCAGGAGAGAGGCACGGGCTGGGCCGCGGGGCAGCGGTGCTCAGCCTTTCTTAACCCTGGGACCCTGGGGAAGTGGCAGGAGTCTCATGGGGACAGTGGCGTTTGGGGAGGATGACAAAGTTCTGGAGATGACGGTGGCGACAGCTGCACAACACGAACGTGCCCAGTGCCCCCCCCCCGACCCGCGCTCCACAAATGGCTGAGATGGCAGCTTTTTTGTTATGTCTGTTTCATTACAATTTTTCAAATCACTATGTCCTCTCCTGCAAGTACCTCTCAGTCTGCGGTCACGTTAGGGCAATCCGGACGCCGAGGGGTGTGGGGACCCCGGACTTCAGGCAGAGCCTTCCCGGGGGACAGACGGGGACCAGGCTCCTCTTCATGCCAGCTCAGGTGCGCCCAGAACTTGGAGGGTGCTATGGGCCAAACCACAAGCCCCGAATTTACACACGGGAGCCCTGACCCAGCGCCTCATGTGTGGCCATGTTTGGGGGTGGGCCTTATGGAGGGGACCGAGGTAAATGGGGTCACGGGGGTCCTAACCCCATATGAGTGGGGTCCTTGTAAGAGATCAGGACACAGACACAGGGACGATGCTGTAAGGACACGGGGAGGACACAGCCGGGCCTCGGCAGCCCAGGAGGAGGCTCCAGCCCTGACCACAGCTGGGTCTCGGGGTTCTCGCGCCCAGGTCTGGGGGCCAGGGAGTGGGGAACGTCTGCGGCTCAGACTGCAGGCGGCGGCGTTGGTCACGCAGCCCGAGCAGACAGGGTGCGGGGCCCCACCCCTTCCCTCGCTGTCACCCTGCGCTGGCACCCTGGTGCAGGGAGGAGGGGCCGAGGCCCCCGGCCCTCTGGCACCGCTCCATCCCGTCCCTGGTAGCTGAGAACGCTGGGGTTTGGGGCAGGGGTCCTCACCCTGGCCTTGAGTTACGGTCCCCTTGAGGAGCTGTCACAGTTGCCCACTGCCTGGAACCCCACCACCACCCAGAGGCTCGGGGTCCCGGGCCAGGCACAGGAGTTTCCGGTGGTTCCTTGGGTGACAGTGTCGCGAAGCAAGGACGGAGAGCCACGCTCAGAGCTACCTGGCCCGGGGCGGACACGTGCCAGGCGTCCGTGCCGAGCACTGAACCGTGCCCGGGACCCCCGAGGACCCAGCGTTTTCATCTTATTTACTTCTAGTTTATTTAAGTTTAAAACCTGCAGTTGTTCATAATGCAGTTATGTCTGGGACACGTGAATTCGCTTTCTCAACTGTATCTTTTATGAAACCTGAATAGAGAGCGAATATTTCCAATGAAAATTAAGCATCCGAATTGAGAAGCGCTGTGATTTCACAAGCTTCTTACGCAGCGAATGTGGAATATCTCAGTAATTTTTATATTGGCTTCATGCTAAAACGATACTATTTTGGATCTATTAGGTTGAATAAAATATCTTGCTAATATTAATGTCACCTGTATCTTTTTACTCTTTAAATATGACCAGTAGGACATTTTACATGACCCAGCAATTTCGCTTCTAGGATCTACCCAAGAGAATTGAAAACACATGTCCACACAAAACCGCAAAGGCGCTGTTCATAGCGGCGTGATTCAGTCGCCAGGACGGGGAACAGCCCAGCCGTCCATCAGCAAGTGAACGGGTAGAAAATGCGGCCTTCCCACGCAGTGGAATATTACTCAGCCCCGAAAAGGATGAGCCTTGAAAATATGGCGCTGAGTTACAGAAGCCAGACACAAAGGCCACATGTCACAGGAATCCACCTGTGTGAACCGGCAGAACAGGCACATGCGTAGACAAAGGCAGATGAACATTGTCGGGCTGGAGGGACTAGAGGTGACAGCTAAGGGGTACGGGGTTTCTTTTGGGGGGGTGATGAAAACTTCCTAAAATTGATAGAGGTGACAGTTACATAACCTGTGACTATGTTCAAAGCGTAGAATTGTACACTTTAAATGGGCGGAATGGGTGGTGTGGGGATTTTTAGCAGAAAAGCTGACTTGAGGGCACGCAGGGGGTTTCGGCTGGACAGCGCTGGTGGACAGACCCCAGGACGGAAGTCACAGCTGTGGAGAAGCATCAGAGCCGGGACCACTCGTGGGAACTGGGGGCCGAATGGGACTTTGGGTCGCCCCTCC